CACAACACAGTCCGGCGCTCTAACCAATTGAGCTAACCAGTAGGCGGTTAGCTCAATTGACCCCTACACGTGAGTAGGGTCCTAATTTTCTCCTTACAAACATTGAGGTCACAAGAATAAATAAAATGATGATCAACTATAGAAGCTCTTGATTGTTAAAACAAATCAACATCTTTGGAAATGTATCGAGAACAGTTTGGGGAATGCAATCACTGATTTAGGGATGTAAATGGTTTATACAACCCAAGCTGAAATTTGCAAATGGAAGGAAAATCACAAACAGCCACAGAACATATAGCATCTGTTTTCTATTGAAAAAAAGAAAAAAAAACCTGTAAGAGCCCTAATCATGATTAGGGCCGTGCCAAAGAAAGAATCTAACAAGGAATGCAAATTTTCATTAACTCCACTTTATTTCTGACAGAAAAAGACCAACATCAAAGAGGTGAAGTTTAAGAAAGATTACTTGAATGATGGTGATGTGTTCCTGATTGACCTTGGACTTCAGATATTCCAGGTAGATCAAAAACTGTTTTACTTGCAAGGTACTGGTAGGTAATTAAAAATCAGTGCATAATATGCATTATCAAACCAAATGTGGTGTTGGATTAAAGAAAAAGTCTTGTGAACTTAGACCTGTTAGACATTCCTGTGATGTAATCATAATTGGGTTAACTTCCCTAAAGGAGGGAGACGTTAGGGTTTGCAGAATCATGGTGTTGGACAATTTTTGTGGTATTTTGGTGATTTTAATCTCAAATTGCAGGATCACAGTATTTTTAAAACCTGCGGGATGCAGGTATTTCCCATACACGAGATTACTGTGTGATGGATGTCTTCCCCTGGGGTGGGATGGGCAGGTTAGGATTGATTGTAAAGCGCTGTTGATCTGTCATTGTAAATAGTGCTCTATAAGTGATAAATTGTAAATTGTATTATAAATTAGCCTCCAAATGCTCCACCATTATCCTCCAAATGCTCCACCATTTTCTGAGCATTTTGACAATTTTCAATTGCTTTGGAAACAGGCTGAAATAAAAAATTACCTGTGACTTATGTTGATTTACAAGTTCTTGACTGTTATTTAAGTGTTATTTGTCATAAATGTAACATTTTATCCTTTGATCTCCCCCCCCCCCCATTTTCAGAGAACTCCTTATCATTTCAGCTTTTTTGATGCACCCTGTAGCATTTTATATACATGATTACCAGTATGTCCTGTCTTTGCTTTGTGTATTTTCACTGGAATCAATATTGTTCACCATGATTTGTTCATAATTAGCACATGGCTCTCTGTTTAGAGTTTGACTCAAAAGTAAAAGAGAATTTAAGTTTCAAACAATTTCTTAAACAAATAGTTGGCTTATTTGTGTAGTGGAATGGTGAAAAAAGCAGCAAGGAAGAAAGGTGGGCCGCAGGGGGAGAGGTCAGCAAATTAAGGGTAAGTATGCTAATATTCTTACTAAATTGTATCTGTGAATGGTTGAATTTCCAAGTAGTGTAGTTTCATAGAATAACCTTACTGATTTTAGGTAGTACATGAAAGGGCATAGCATGGGAAAGTCCCTTTGTATATGTGCATAACAATGATGATGATGATAATGATTATTATTATTATTATTATTATTATTATTATTTCATTACTACTGATATTATTTTTTTTACTAGTGCTAGATACCCCTTGCCCTAACTGGGAAATCTTTCTGACATAAGCTACAATCATTGAATGGTGTTTTAAGACTTCAGAATACTTACTGTTGTTGTCTTTCAGTCTGACCGGGGAGGTAAACCAACAGTGGAAGTTCTTGGTAAGTATCTGATAAATTAAATATTAAATAAGGAACTGTTCAAAATTTCTCTCTTCTAATCTTTTGATTTATTATCAATGGCAAATTACTCTGTAGACTAAATGCAGATTATCATTTGAATTAAGGGTTGTGTATACTTTAAAGATGATAATCAATTAGCACTTGTCTGTCAACAAGGATTGTCTTGTTGATTACTTTGTAAGATTTACTGATTTACAATTATTCTATGAGAGTGTGTTGGTGGAGCTGACAAAAAGTCAGGTTTCTACGCACACTTTAATCTTTATTTGCATTACGGTCGATCGCGGTTGTTAAAGGGACAAATAATTACAAGTTATTACAAAATACGAGTTGAAAGAATAGAAAAACGTAAACAACGGAGGAAAAGCATTGGGACAAGGAAAGACACTTACAAACGTTGTATGATTTGTGGACACTAAGAACGGAAAAAACTTAGAGCTGATCGTAGCGAAGGAATCGATGTTAATCTATTGGACTCGGATACTCCAGTCCTGAATTTTTATGGAGAAGCTTATACAAAATGAATCTAATCAAAGCAAAATTACACGAAAAACCTAACGGAAAATAAATCAACGTGAGTGAAAGAATGCGAAAAACAATAAGAAAAATGCGCGTGCAAAAACATAAAAATGTAACTACGGAACGTAAATGGGAATGGCGCACTAACAGTTGGATTTGTGAGGATAGATAGCCAACAAGTTGCAAGGCACACAGCTTTAACCAATCTCGTATCCAACTGTATCCTTTCAAAAGCTTTATTTCATTCTTTGTGGCTTTTACTTTTGTTATGGAGATGACATTCAGCAGTTTTTGTTTTTACTCTACTTCTAATCACTGGAGTAGTGTTTGCTTCTGACCAAGAATAAATTCAACTCAGCAACACATGGGTGAATCATTTTCCTTATGAGTACGTTATTTGTTTTATGAGCTAATGACTATAGTTGTGTGAACCTATTAGAACACTAGAAATTCAATATTCGGGGTTTCAAATTTAATAACCTCTGATCTGCCGATTTAACACTGATGTTGTTATATACGACTGTAACAGATGATTGTAAGGTTGATGAAATACCTGACGTGTTGTTGGAAGTCTTTCCCGATGAAGGACAGCCTGGAACCAAGAGGTCTAAATTCTGTAAGAAAAGTGATGAGGTATTGTGTATACGATATTGTTTTCATTTTAAATTTTGCAGCTACATGTGACGTGTGCAGTCGGACGGTTGTTCTCCATGTCAGCATTTTCCTGACGTAACATCAATTTGCTGATCCGTATTTTTTAATTAAATTAAATAGTTCTTGTTTCAAATCAAATTTGAGAATTATTGAGTGACCTTTCTGCCATTGGACCCGGTAGTCAGCTTAAAAATTTATGCACAAACTAGCAAAAAGTAAAATCAACCTTCCTTTTACTTTTTTTTTTCTTGCAGTTTATGTGAGTATCGTCCCCAATCTTTCAGAAAACTTCTCTTGGTTTCTCTATCGTAGTGATTTCCACTTGACTAGTTTAAATAATTTTTTACTGCCGTTTCAACTTGATCTCTGTACGTGTCTTTCTTTTCTTTTTTTTGTTTACGAAAGAAAACGAGATCACTAACCCTCGAAAGGAAAAGCCTCATTTGAACTACGTTGGACCTATGCTTTCTGTTGAGGCTGGGGGAGATAATCACTGATATCTATGTGGTAGTTCTTGTCCTTTCATTAGCGTTTTTGCGGTTTCCCATGGTTGCAAGAGTTAACTCTTTATGCACAACTTTGATACTCTTTTCAGTTCATCATTCAATTTATATTTTCACGAAAACGTGATTAGCAGCTTGGTTCTGATTCAAACGCGAATATCTTGCACGTGTTTTCTTCTAATTTAAATGGAGCGAAAACGTCGTCTACAGTATCTTCAAGGGGAGTTTGTTTTACGGATTTTTCTAAGCAAGTTTTTGCGATTTTCAACTCCACCCACATTGGTATTCCCGTTGGGAAGTCTTCCACTATAACTGTTGTTTCTAAATAATTGCTTGCAAATTTTTCTTTCATCTAGACTGATGCAGGGTACGAGAAGGTGTTATTTAGGTTAGTAGTATACTTCGATAGAATAGTGTGGGTATAATCTTTACTGAGATTTGACGACTGATACTGCCTTTGGTAATTCTCAATAAGATCTATGGAACCAGTTCATGATCACTTTCATTCAACACCATGCTGAACCGACTTGAATGATTTATAGGTTGTCAGATGCAAGCTCTGAGATGACGTTTACTGAAGTTGCTCGCGGAAGTATATCAAAGAGCCAGTTGGACAGCAGCGATGGTAGGCTTTCTTCCTCTCCCATAAACCTTCAACCAAAATATTGAAAATATCGGTAGAAAACTGAACTGTTGAAAGAAAGGATGAAGTGGCGACAGTATTCGCGAAATTCTTCTTGAAGTAAACATCTTCAAGGAATACATTTGCTTTGCTCAGTGGTTCTCCCTTACCCCCTTCACTTCTTACTCGAAACTGCGGTGTGAACTGCAGCTTTGTGTTTTTTAATTTTTCAGTTTTTATCTTGGATTCTGGTAAACACTGCTACGTGTGGGTTGGGAGGAATGCTAGCCCAGATGAAAAGAAGAATGGTTTGTCTTATGCCCATGTAAGTATTTCTGTGTACTGTCCTCTTTTAGGTTCTCGATGTATTGCCTTTCTGCGAAGTAATGTAGATTTCGTAAAATTTGTCGTATCGCATCAGGTATCAGCTGAAATTGTATAAACAGTAGCCTCTGTTTGGCGCGAAAATATGCACGGATATTTGTCCGCGACATTATCTGTTCCGAGGTGTGAACAGCTTTCCGACAGCGAAATCCTAGGAAAACATTGAGCTTCGTTGAACAGATAAATGTCCAAGGACAAACATACGAGCATGTTTTCGCGCGAAGTTTCCTGTCTTTCAAATATTTTTGTAACGTGCAGGAAAAATGTTTACGAACAGCTTATAGTTTGCTGCTTGGGATGTTTACTTTTCAGTGTTCTCTGGTACGACTTGATGAACAAACTAACATGTCCCTTCTTCTGTAACATTAGTCAAACGCTCCTTCTTCCTGACATAAATTATAATAGTTTTAAGCAAACGCTTTCATCTTAGTATACGCCTTGAAGGTTTGAAAATTGGGGAAGATCACTTGGTTTGTATCCTCAGTTTTAGACCAATCGCCAGAAAAACAAAAGATATGAAAAGCTATCAAATTAATCATTTAAGTTTTTCATTCTACCTCGCTCGGCGGACAGTGATTCAGCAAATATATTTTTCTGTATGTCAGTTTAGTGGTATGAGCCGTTTTGGTTAGAAATTGATGATGCACTCAGAATGTTGTCTTAAAGAATTAACAACTGAATGTCTGGTTAATTTGTCTTATTTACAGAATTACCTAGTAAAATCTGCAAGCCCTCTTCAACCAGTCACTGTAATTGGAGAGGGACAGGAAACAAAGGGATTCTACGCAGCATTTAACTAAGGTACTCCGGTTCCATGTTCACCAATAGTCCACGATCTTCTCACATGTGGCAACACGGCATTGTAAGGTGCAGGACGCGTTCGCGTTTTATAAACGCGCACAAACAGAACACCTTATGAACACCCTTAGCTTGACGCGGTGCCTGTAACGTTAGACAAAGTTATTAAAAAAAACCATTCCATTGCTCAGGCATTTGCTGATTGAAAAGGTACTAACCCCAACCAAAAACTCAGAGACATTTGACCAAAGTCAAGTGTAAATAGCATGATGTAAAACCTCGACTCGAAGTCAGCAAACCAGCTTGCTATTTACGTGCGCAGTCTAGGCGTTGCATTCTGGCACCCGCACGAGGGGCCTCCAAACGGCTTTCATTATTAACCTGTTTGAAAACTGGTGGAAGAGTTACAATAGTTTTATGAGTGTTGGCGTCGACTGTTGTTACCAGATAACTTGTGCCAGGGTCTCGACCAGAATGGCGAGCGACCGAAAATCGGTAGGCCGTATTTTTTGTAGGAGGGGGGAGGAGAAGACTGACGATAGTAAGTCCCTCTAGGATCTTTCTTCTCTTTTCCCTACCCCCGCACCGAAGCAGAGTGCCTGGAACAGACTAGTTAGAAGGTAACACGCATGTGTGAAAAGTATTTACTCCTGCTTTCTTTTTGCGCAAACGTTCCCGTTGGGAGTTTCTGATTTAAGAATTTCATCTTTTCAGGGATGTGCCGTGTGGAACGAGGACATTCTAATCATGAAGTATAAAAGAAAAAAATGTTTGTAGTGTGTCTGGTTAAGCTTCAGGTGAATGTAGACAGAATTTCGTGTGGTTTTTACCACATTGGGCAGAAATTCGTCTTTGTTCGCAGGCAGCTTCTGGAAGTAGGTCTCTTGGTAATTTTGTCGCTTTTAAATCGGAAAATGAAACTTGGGTTGTTGTTTATCTAGAACGTCGAGGTTATTTTGTTAAACTAGGATTCACCGCTCTATACTGTTTTAACTATAAAATTGAAAGTGATCACAGATATGAAAATAAACCTTGGAATCTACTGTGATTCAAGTTTGTGATTATAAATATTACGTGTTATTATTGTGGTCTGCCCTGTAGCACAGACTGGACTTCTACTTCTCAAGTTTTGTTAAAATATCTCTTGGACACCTCATTTGACTTTACATAGATAAAATGCGAAGAACATGCTTCTCGACTTAAAACCCACCTTGAAGAGCTCTGATATGTCAACGCTGGTCTGCAAAGGTTCTTCTCTAACTGGTGTTTCTATTGGTAATTGAACTGAGTGGTGTGCAATTTGGTCTGAAATCGTGCGTATGGTTTCAAGATCTCAAGTATGATACAAAATTACAAGTGTGATTGTAGACCAAAATTGCTCAAATACAAAATTTTTAGTCTGTACAAACATTTTATATATCCAATGCTGAGCTAGTTTGTAGGAAAAAAATGCAAAAAAATTGTCTTTTATACCCGCAATTTGGCTGGCTACCGTAATCAAGCCTTGAAATCCTTAATTTCTTTTAATAAAGCTTAATCATTCGCTGGCAGAAAGAAGCGCTTTAAAGATATAAAAATGAATAACCCAACTGATGAAAGCCAATCGTTTTGCAAGGATCTCCAGTGATTTTAAAATGCACGTAATAAGGCTGGAATTACGCTGTTGAAGTTACTTAATTGGTGTCCCATTTTCTTAGGAAAATGAAAATTTTGATGTAGATTATTCATAATATCGTATATGAATGACTGCAACCGTGCAAGGCACAAATACAAACCTAGTAGAAGCTGCTTTATTTCTCTCAATGCTTTCCCATCGACGGAGCATTGATTAGCCCTTTCCACCCTAACATCAGTATGCATATTCTCCATACTGTTCTCTATATATTTCCTACGGTACTAACAAGGAGAATTTGATTAACAATCAAGAGCTCTATAGTCAGGGATCTTTTCCTTTATTCTTGTGTCCTTAATGGTTGATTGCAAGGGTGATAGTGCGAGTAGAAATTAGATGCCAGTCATTTTTAGAATGTAAAGGGTTAAACAAAGCTAGAAAGTCGAAGAAGAAAACATTGTCAGAGCTCTCATTCGAGAACCTCTCTGACATAAGAACCTGTTACAAATTTTAGGTTTGACCATTCTCACGAAGAGAGAGTGTAGAGGTAAATGTCACCCTTTCCATGTTGCAGTGGCGACTCTTGATTACGCTCTAGCTTGTCAAGTTTAAAAGTTAAATCGTCTATTTTTGTTTAGTTTTCTTTTTTCGGTTATAGTGTTTTATATCAATGTTGTATATCCTTAGTCTAGCCTTGTCGAAATGATGCTTCACGCTGCGTTTATGATGTGCAGTGAAATCGCAGACCAGGCGGACTTGTTACTTGAAAAGAGGTCCTCTCTGATTCCATATTAGGATCGTAATGGTTTCCATTGGGATTTCTCGCTTATTTTGAGCCAGTCCTTTCCATGTCGGACGTTGTTAGATATGGTTATGCATAGGGACATTTTTGTGAACCAATGTGAAAGGGCTGATCTTGGTGGCCAGCATCACGCGACACCGTGAATTGTATCGTGTTTGTATGTGTGCAATTTTTTCGTCAATCTCACACAGCTTTTTGTCGAAACCATGAAAGTACCGTTCTAACAGTTTGTTTAGATTGTGACCTTCTCAGGCAGCGTTGCGCCCCTTAAAAAAAAAAAAAAAATCAACATTACGATGGTAGATTTGCTCGATCTCATTTGAATTCAACTAACTTATTGCCGTCTCGGTCTAAAACTCTACCTGGAACTTAGATGCGACAAATCTTGGAGCGAGCCATTAAAAACCCCCATATATTGTTAACGGAAGGTTTTTTAGCACCAGAGAATGTTAGAGATTTTGGATTTGCTCTAAGTGGCAAAAAGTGTAAGGGAATTTATTTCTAACACCCCGTTTCGCCAATTTTAAATAATCTCACACGGAATCTAAAGGAGAGATGTTTATTTTATCTACCCTCTTATCTTCACCAGAAATTATGAAATATGGAAGACTTGTAAAAACTTCATTGATGAAAATGTAATCTCGTCTGAGGTGACTAATATTTGATATTGATTTCTGTAATCAAAGGTGATTTTAGTCCCTGACAAAGTTCCTAAATCTGAATCACATTACGAACTGTAACTCAATACCTTGTGTTTTTTCAATTTTGGTATACTAATCTACACTATTATTCGTTGAGAATGTTTGTCTTCATATTACAAAGTTTTGATGAACTTCGATGGCGAAACATTAGAGAATACTCTTGAAATAGTTAAACGCCATGTTTCAAAAGTTTCAATGGGACTGCATGAAGAGCCGCCATTATTTTTTAACAGAAGCGTAGTGAAAGAGGACGGTGTTTTATTCGGTCAATAAGTCCTCTAATTAGCATGACAGTAGATTAAAAGTTGCAAAAAAAAAGTGGTTTAAACAGATGTCGCGGTGAGTTTTATTCTTTGTTGTCGCTATCTTGGTGAAACCACGACCACTGTATAAATGAACTTACCTTCTTTATCACCAAACATTCGAATTGTGGTTCTTTGTGCGAAACGAAACACTAAAAATCGAGAAGTCTCAAGCCGAAAACAACAACCTTTCACATAAGCATGCCACAAAGCCATCAACATCGAAAATTTTATTTCAGTAATTGGTCGAGCGGAGTGTTCCACAAATTGATGAATAAATATTAGCCTAGAGCCGTGATGAATAATTGATTCACCTACTCGAAATAAACCGCCGTTCTCTACAGTAATATTACATTTGGTTGTCGATCTTTCTTTAATCAAAAGGTTTGAATTAAAATAGAGGAGTGAAAAATGAGTGATATAGCAATATTGATTTTCGCGGCACGTGTGCAAACAGCTTGTTCGTCGGCGCGATTTGAAATATTTTTTTGTGGGTACAGTACATATTGAAATATTCTCGCAATTATCAAGACATGAAGATGTTTTGTCATTATTGATGTTATCTTCGGGAACATGTACGATCAAGTAAATAATTTATGATTATAGCATTTGAGAGAAGCTATGGTAGCAGAATAAAAAATGAGGAGACGATTTCGAAAAGGCGTTTTTACTTTCTCATCCATCCATTCTACGAACGGATGGCAGCGCATTGTGATGTGCTGTGCGAAAAAGGAAATTACATTTACATTACTTTCTGTAACTCGTGACATTTTTATTTTTATGATCTAGGTATATTTTGGTTTAATGCATTAGCCTAGTATGTGGTCGCACATTAAAATGATAATGTTCGCTCTGATTCGCTTTTGTTATGCAAAATTCTCTTTACACAACAATCGAACCTCTCCTTTTTGTTTTTCACTCCCTGAATTTGATTATCTTTCTCTAAAGAACTTCTAGCTAACAAAATTCCATGGAAGCAAATTCAATTAAGGAAACACTTTGTGGAGTTTTTTAGTTTTTTAAAGCAATGGTCAGTGTCCTTAAGTTCAGTTATATCATGAATTCTGTGCCAGCTCTTTAGCGGTGTCTTCGAATGTACACGGGTTAACAACTTGTCCGGAAAATCTCCCTCGCTCTGAATACATTAATCTATTTGAATTATTCATGTGGCCTTCCTTTAAATTTACAATTCTAAAATGACAGTGCGTAGGAAACAATAAAAACAGTATTCATCGTAGCACCTGTCATGTCGTTGCTGAAGGTCGCCCACTCTGGCACAGCGAACAGAAATCTTTCATCAACCCATTCGATTTTAAACGAGTTGGCGTCGATGAAGATCTGACTAGCGATTCGTCCCAACGAAATTAAATGTTCGCTGAATTTATGCGATACCTCTCAGAGGCTTAAAGGACATCAATTGCTCGTTTTTCCAATTGCCTTATTGCCATCTGGGAGAGCGAATGGAGATCAATCCTGGATTGAATCACATCAGCGAACAAGCGAGCAACAATTCATCCGTTCAGGCACCAAAGCCATCTCTGAGAGGAGAAATCAACGATAAAGGACAAAGGATCATTATTAATGTTAGCGGCCTGAGGTTTGAAACCTACGAACGCACGCTTTCTCAATTCCCGGCAACACTTCTCGGTTGTGCAGCGAAAAGAGAATTCTACTACGACAGTGAAAACAATGAATATTTTTTCGACAGAAATCGTTCATCGTTTGAGGCCATATTATTTTTTTACCAGTCTAATGGCAAGCTTGTTCGGCCGAGTGGTGTTCCGTTGTACGTTTTTTCGGAAGAGGTCAGATTTTTTGAACTTGGTAAGGAACATCTTCAGCGGTTAGAGATCGAGGAGGGATATATAAGCGAAGAGAAACCACTATTGCCGACAAACCAAACACAAAGGAGAATATGGGAATTATTCGAATATCCGGACAGTTCAATGCCGGCGCGTTTTTTAGCTATGTGGTCAGTGTCTGTGATTTTACTGTCTATCGTGGTATTTTGCCTCGAGACTTTACCGAGTATACGTTGTAGGACTGATTCAAGTGGACCTGGTTGTAAGGCATACGTTGGAACCCCTCAAACTAAGAAAATGTGGTACACTGTAATCGAAATTCTGTGTATCTCGTGGTTCACCCTTGAGTATGTTGTGAGGTTATTGTCTTCACCGCAAAAATTGGTCTTTATTCGCACATTTTTGAACATCATTGACCTAGTTGCGATTTTACCCTACTACATTACGCTTCCAATGAACGAAGCCCGCGTAACCTCGTTGGCTGTGTTACGAGTTATTCGTCTAGTACGTGTCTTCCGCATATTTAAATTGTCGAGACACTCAAAAGGCTTACAAGTCCTTGGCTATACGCTGCGGTCAAGTTCAAGAGAACTGGCCATGCTCATTTTTTTCCTCTTGATCGGAGTAGTGCTGTTCGCGAGTGCTGTTTTTTACGCGGAACAAGACAGCCAAGATAGCCAATTCAAAAGTATCCCTGATGCATTCTGGTGGGCGGTAGTTACCATGACAACAGTGGGGTAGGTTGAGAATTTTCATTTAAAGAAGTTTTAAATTTGAAACCGATGACCAGGTTCTTGTCGTTTGAAGCATAAATGTGATTTTCCATACACTGGGAGGCTCTCTCTCGATCTAAGAAAAGCTCTGATTTTATTTGAACAGGGCTGTTATGTGTTGCATTGAGAACACGACCCCTTTCATATACGTTACATTTGAAAGGTAAAGGTACATTAAGTTTACATCGGTTTTCGTCACTTTGGAAGAGTTTCGCCGAAATTTAGTTTAATCTGGCTATTTACAGAAGATAGAAAGGTTTTAAACATTATTCTTTTATCACGGTTTTGAGTTAGGAGGAAGTAGTTTATCATTTTTGCAACATAAGTACAGGAAAGACCTGGTCGTAAAAAATGACGAACGCGACTTTTTTGGCTTTAATTGGCTTGTTCAAAATTAAACCATTTTATATTTCATCGCTTCAATCTTTGCTTCTTTTTCAAGAAAATTTGTACCATGGGTTCAGTCGCCAGCGTGATCAAAAATTAATGAACGCACAAGAATAATTAAAACTTTTAGTCAATATAATTTACATTTCCATTTTAGCAACACCAATATTAATTCGAATTTTAACTTAAATGCTCGTTGAAGCTGAAAAAAAATCGCCACTAAATTAAATGAGACCCTCGGTTTAACTCTCCCGATTTCAGACAAATAATGTTTATCTTTTCACTGATAAGTTCTCTGAATTAACAAAATCATAAGAAAGTCAAAGAGACAGAATCGCATAGCGTAGTGAATTTCATTTGTATGCATGTTTTATATTTCCTTGGCTTTTATAGTCTTGGGGAGGGAGAGCTTGAACGGATTTTATAAAATAAGCCGTCTCTATCACTTTACGTGTGGTAAGTTTGGCCGCTATAAACGACAAAAACGAATCAAAGGAAGAGGACATTGTGGGAGGTTTTGTTTGACTGATCTTCTCTTTTTCCTGTTGTTCACATTACCCGCAAGCCTTCCTTTACAAAGTGTTGCCGGCTAACATTCGATAGTTCTTCGGCGAATGTATCCTCTTACTGTTTTCGTGGTTTAGACGATCTAGTTGTTTCGGTAGTTTTGAACTTTTTAATTCAAAGCTTGGTACCATTGCATTGTAATGGAAAGAAGTTTACTTCCGGATGGTGGAATAAGTCTTGGTTATAACACTGAACACGGCAGATAAGCTCTTTGGTGCCTCATCTCCGAGCAGACTCGAGCAACGCAAACTTGTTCAATTTCACAGCAGGCGTGCTGCTCTACTTGCTTGAGATATTCAGAGTACACCATACTAATTTTGAGTAAGATCCATATGTAGAAGTGTACCAGAAATACATTTAAACTTTTTTTTTTTCTGTTTGCTTTAATATCGGATCTCTCAAGTTATCCGTCTCCTTTGTTTTTATCACCTAGATACTCAAGGCTCGAAATAGCACAAATCGACCCATTTCGTGCGTCTAATGAAATTGATATTGGCGGCAACTAAAGCAACTATTACATGATAAATACTTTTAATAAAAGTCAATCAGTATTTTAAAACGAGAAGGTTCATTAACAAAGAACTTGCGCCGGGATGAATAAAGGCAGCTTTAATAATTCATATATCGGTGAAATACTTCATCGAAATATGCACCATTAGTCGATTTGGCGACAGAATTTGCTCATGTTTAGTAAACACCATTTCATTAAGCACAAAGTAGTCATGTTTCTTTCATTAGGTCGGTAAAACGTCCAAGTCTAACTGAAATGAATGATTGATGAAACAGGGTGGAAACTGAAAAATAATCAGTCAGATAAACATGCATAAAAAAGTTATTGAAAATCATTCTCTAAAACTGAATCCTTTGACATCTCCAAAATCTTTTGGTCGAAATACATGTAATGTTTGCTTGACCATTAGCCGGATTTAGTTTTCAGCTGTGGTCAGCCAAGCGCGTATTATCATCAAGAAATTACTCTGATTTTAACAAAATTAAGGTTGCGATTAGCAAGCAACTGTTTGATTATAGGCTCTGGCTCTCCCTCTTAAATAATTCGTAGGAGAAAACCAAAGGTATTGGACAAAAACAGCTCATGTGTAGCAGTGACTTGAACCCAATTGTATCCTTTAGAGTCTTTGAGTTCCATCAGAACTTTACCCTTTATTTACCATTCATGTGAGATGAAAATTCCGAAATCAAATATTTTATCTTTTACCGCTTAAGCATAGATCTGATGGCAATTTAATCTAGTTTGAGATTAGTCTTCTCCTAGAAGTCTTGGAAGCAGAATTTTGGTTGTAAAGACTATCTATAAAGAACATAACCAAGGCATGTACTAGGAACTCGCTCTACGTCTCTTTTCCCATGTTTTTCTTTTCTTATTGACTGCACAGGTTGCGGTAAAGGTTAGACATTTACGTTATTATACAGACTGAGAGAGTAGGACAGCATAACAAAAACGTATAGAAAATACATCTACATTGAAAGTTGCCGAAAAAGGCTGTGCGTAGACATCTACTTTGAAAGTTGCCGAAAAAGGCTGTCGTGCGTAGACAGTGAACACCCGCCTGCGTTTACAAGAGGCGGAAGTTTGGGTTTTCATCGCTCTGTGACGGGTTAAAAAAAACACCACCTTCTTATCAAATCGGATGCAAAATTTTGTCATCCGCGTTTTATCAGTGAGATGAACTGACCGAATGCTCCGGAAGTAACCGATATGATCAGTGAGTAACAGGATGACGGGCTTGAACCTTGGACTATAGCTTAACTGTCTTCATATTGTTATTTTTTGAGCACGAAGCCTTGTTTGGCCAGTCGGGGGTAAGATATGCGAGATATTTAAGTAACGTGGAAAAAGAATCATGAAAGATAAAGAAGACGATTTCGGGGTTTGGGTGCAGATTTTCCCCTCTCCTGAGGGCAAAAGTAGAACTGAAAGAAATTTAGCAAAACGAGAGGGCAGTCCAACAAAATTTCCATAGTAATAAGTTAAACCAAACAGGCAAAGAAACTTACTAATATCGCATTTACATCAAGTTTTTATGTCTTTCTCTTTTCATAGATACGGGGACATGACTCCTCGCACTTTGGGAGGCAAAATAGTGGGTTCTATCTGCGCTATATCAGGGGTGTTGACCATTGCTCTTCCTGTGCCGGTTATTGTATCAAATTTCAACTACTTTTACAAAAGGGAGGAATTGAACCAGTCTCTTAATACGGCGGAAAACGGCGAGTGTGGTAGAGACCAAAACGAAGACGTTGACGCCTTCAACGGGCCGCTGACCAGCCCATCTGGACACATGATCCTCAGCTCACCTGCCGCATTTACAGGAATAGAGGAGGTTCGAGTAAAAACTGAGACGCCTGTTTGATCATGTGACTTCTCGCGCTGGGCCGCTGACCAGCCAATTTGGGCTTAGCTCATACAACGTGTTTGGATTCGAAGAAGTTTGCGTATAAACTGCATGATATGCACGTTCGACCAAGTGAATCGATAAGTTCTTTAGAAGGAGGCTTTTACAAGCCTGTAGAAACATGTGTCGTGTTTTGATGGCTACCGCCTTTCTCCTGGTCATCACCTTCATTACGACTCAACATGCTCAAAAATAGACTCGGTTTCATGTACTCAAAAGCTTACGAGGAGACGGTTAAGACAGTCTATGATTAATTGCATAACGAAGTCAATATTTATCTCATGTTTCCATCGAGTGGATAAGACGATATTGTAATAAAAATGTATGGGCTTCACCGACGAGCTGAGTCATATGGCTACGATAGCGATGCAGATGTTTCAATATCTGATCAGCTAGGAATTTAGTGATGGCAAACTGTTTGATTCTTTCCTTAGTCAAGCGACGATGATCAAACTAGCTCAAAAATTTTGATCTAAAACGCAAGTGAAGTGGACATATATTCATGCTTGGTTACATTGAGTCTTGCGATTGAACAAGCAACAGGAATAATTGGTGTTTTGCCTGGATAAACCCAGCGGCTCAGTGATCCGTTAAGTGTCACGTTGGAAAAGATCAGTGTAGAATTCTGAGAGCATAAGACTGACTTAAACTATGAAGAGCAAAGGCACAGGAAAGCCAGCATACTGGAAACCTACCCAACTAAAACTAAGCATATTTTTTACATTGCTTGTGCGTTTATCAGCGTTTCGTTGTCAGCGGAATTGTTTCTTCTCGTTAGCCACATCAAGAAATTTCTTGGTTTGGATACCCAACCGACAATAATCGGTTCCGTCGGCCGAGAAGAATGACACCAGTCAGCGGTTTCGTTATTGTAAAATGGACTAAAACTTTTATGCATCTCTTTCACATAGGCACTAACGACTGCAGTATTTACATTGTGCAGAGAGACTTAAAGTAAAAAATATTTGACGAACTTTCAATTTCCTTGTTTTGGAATCACGTTTAGTTTTCATCCAGCGTTTAAATTTGCCAGAAAAATTGGATTTATTCATGACTAACTAAAAATATTGTTCATTTTTATACACGTTCCGGTACATTTGTTTTATTCATGTCAAGTGCGTTCTAATTGGTATGTTTAAGGCTTGTTTCTTAGAAGAGCTGCAATAGCTCAAGGAACCTAAGAGACGTCTAGGATGATATGTATATCGTTTTGCTATTATGATTTCAGGTGGTTAGACGGCTGCCAAACAACCCATAGGCCAGTTGTCAATCCTCTCGCTTCTTAGGGCCGCAAATTTTCTTTTTATTTGAGTTTAAAATTTTTAAGATATGTGAAAAGGCTGCGACGGTTTAAACATAAAGACTTCTGTTCAAATACTCGTTATTTGAAACACTTGTACATGTGAAAATTCCAAAAAGGTTACTTGAACATAGAGTATGGATTAATAAATTGCTTAGCGGTTAAAAAGAGACTTACGGAGAAGCATTCTCTGTTATGAGAACCGCGAACACTTTGATATTAATCTGACACGCGCCAATAAGCGTGTACTGACCAACCTCAAGGTCCGGGGCGTGTAAACAAAACTCAAAACCGCAAGTTGATTACTATTGCTGATTGCGGTTCAGATTTCTGACGCTTAATTGAATCCTTCAAATACAGTTATATGCTATAAATATATCTGGCCTTCACGGTTTTCTGAGTTTCGTAGTAAATAGATCGTCAAGGGTTGGATGCAAGACAAGCCGAGACATTATGGATAGAAGCAAACGGCTGATTGCTAGGCAAGAATGGATAAAAAAAAGGAGAAACGAAGCGAATTTTTACGACTTTCGAGGGCTAACTGATCAGACAAGGAAAATCTTAAAGAGCTAAAACGCATCCAGTTTCATAATTCTTTATATACATTTTCAATGGCAGATATCAAATTATGAGGCTTCTAGATTATACTTATCCTAAAAGCTTTTGTAGTTTCAGAATATTTAATTTGATTTTTAACAACTGATTCTATCTAACTAGGATCAAGGCCTTAAGACAAAGATCGGATTAGCTCACAGCCTTGTCTTCTACAAAGTATGTTAAATGTGAACATAGTTTCATTGAAACAAATAAACGGTGGAAAACATACTTGTTCTTTACTGACGGGTTTTTAGCAATCTACAAAAGTGACAAATTGACAATTATGTCATTGTGGCTGTTGTTTCGTCGACGAAATGGTTTATAAAGCTTGTTTGGACGGAAAAACCAACCAGTTAGTAAAGCTTCACCTTTCAACTCCCAGAAGTGATTAACTAGTAACTTTTCATTGCCATTCCAACAGTTCCTTTTATGGTTGTGGGCTTGGTGGCCAAGCCTTTGAATAGGAGTGAGGCTAAGGGTGACCCTGTTGTGATAGAGACCTGTATCTAGTTAGCATGATAACAAAGTAATCTGCATTTGAAAAGCAGCAACATCTCTATCTTAACAAGGTCACCCTAAGCCTCACTCCTGTTCAAAGGCTTGGCCACCATAGGAATTAACGCGACTTAAATTAAAGCGAATTTAATGGAAAACGAGTTTCGAATAAGGAAAATTAACGCGAAAGAGGAGGTAGAATTTCACAATAAAGGTAATTAACGCGATTAAGACACGGTAGTGACAACTGGAACAAATTTATTTCAACACTGGATACCAAGAAATTTACAACTGAACAAAACTGAGCCATGTGGTTGTTGGTCATGTACCAAAAGAACTGAGCTGTTATGTGTGCTTTGGAACAAGAAGCCAAATTTACAGGAAGAGTTATTTCAGTGAGGCCACTAATTTAAGGAGGCCTTGAAATACCAATGGTCGTTTCTGTCCAGTGGAGCAATGCGAGAAGTCTGGCGATTTTGAAAGAGAGAACAGAGGAAGTGTCATACTCTGTCGAGAAAGACTGTCAGTTGACGATTCGAAATCTGTCTTGGCCGAAATCAAAGGAGAAGGTATTGACATCACTTCTGACAGCAACAGCGATGAAGATGAACTCGAAATATTGTAAACCTTCGCCTTAGCTTCTGTGAAAGATGAAAAATAAAGGGTAAATGGAAAGAAAGAAAGCTTGTAGTTAATATTTTTTAAGTGTCAAGAATGTCTGGACAGGTTCCAAAATTGGGGTTATAATACTGGAAATTAAGAGCGCGGAAAT